TGGGTTTGCCGTGAGATGGCAAGATCAGATAGATGATGACTGTCACTTTCTTAGGACACCTTTGGAGAGTGCTTTTGCACCTCAGTGAGAAATAACACGTGACCGCCCCAGTCTGATCAGCGGTTGGGGCAGTGATGACGTTTTCTGAGTTCAACCAGAACCTAGGGGGCGACCTTGCCAAATTGATCGCGTGAGGTAAAGTCGTAGGTAGATTGGCGCCACTGCAGCCCTCGAGTTCCTGAAATTCAATGCGCATCTCACCACTGTAGTCCCTCACAGTAGTGGTTCGCGTAGAATAAGTATGACATATGTTGTCCTCATCCTTGCCACATTTGACATGCATACAAAAATTACGAAAGCCAGCCTTCGTAGAAGGCGCCAGCTGAGTTGTGTTTGGCGAAAAAGTGAGTAAGTAGGGGGTCTGGGGTGGCCCGAGAAAGCACCACGTAAACTCGAAATTAGGTGGTGTTTAGGGGTGCGCGGACGCAAGGTTTTGGAGGTTGTGTTGGAGGTGATTCTTTGTGATTTTTGAGGGGGTGGTGATGCAAAAAATGCGATTTGTATCATTTGCATCATCTGAATGGTAAGGTGTAGCTTTACAGATGCTGATGGTACCGCTGGCTTTTAGTTTGCAGCTTCACAGGTCAAAAAAGGATAGTACATATTTCTGCGCTGTTATCTGGGTTGAGCATCTGGATTTGCTATGCTATGGCAGTGCACTCCTTCTTTATTGTATCCTCCACAGATAAATCTATAACAGCGTGTGCAACGTAGGTTTTGCTGAGGAGGATGAGAGCAACCAGAAATGGGTGGGGAGAGGAACGGATGAAGACGAAAAGCACGCAAGAGACTAAATCAAAAAGGGATAATGCAAATGGAGGGAGGTGAAGAGATGGGTGCCTGCAGCATGGGAGGCTTTGCCAATATCATGCAACTATCATGTAAGTGCTTTGTGATAAACGTGCTTGGCATATGTGCATGGAGAAACTTTCGGAAAGTCAACATTGTTTGAGGGTGTTTGTTGGCTGTTGAAACATTTTGATAGGGTGAGCCATGATAGTAGGCAGGATTTCAGGCTTCAAACTTTGGATACGGTATTCATATGTATTGATTCTAGTGCTGCAGGATCAACACTAATTAACCTAGAACCCACATGTTCCACAAGCCACAAGCTACGTGTGTTGCCTTTCAGGAACAGAGTGGTGAGAATCCGCCAACATTTGTCGATAAAATTAATTGCCTACTTCCTCGGCCTAGAATCGTAGAGTCATAGAGTTTTGTTAGGACAAAGGAAAGCAGTCCATTGCAGGTCCCAGAGGAGGAAGTGCCTTAGCGAGAGGAGAGAAGCTGCTTCGCTTCAGGACTGGAGTTGGATTCGAAGCTGTCTAGCTCACGGTTCTCATCTCACCTTTTGGGAGTCTTTCACAGTCCCGCAGGCAGCGTTTTTCCTGGCCTTTGAGCATTAGCCCTTGCCGCAGATCAAGCTTACTGGGTTATGGCAAGCTTGTCATGCCAGATATGAGAGAAGCTGATCAATGGAAAAACAACTGAAACTATGAAGGTGCCCTGCATTCCTTTCTCCTTTTGGCTGTATTTCCCTTCGATGAGTCATGGGCTACATCTGACAATGTCAGTTCGCCCACTTCTGGGCGCGGTGGTTGCCATTACGCGTTGACGCCCTTTCGGGCGTGAGGCGCGCACCATGTAGACAAAGTCTGGAGCCAATCAAGTCGATGATTCGTTTGAGACAAGATCGTGAAACATGTATTTCTTCTTCACTTTGCATGTAGATCCACCATTTCTCTAATATGATTAATATGTTTTGAAACTCAATTTCCTGCGTGTACCTTTCTCCGAATCTACATTGGCACGTTTGCATCCTGAGTCCAAGCCACTAAATTTCTCATCTCTAAGGCGTTGCGCAGCGGTGCCAATGTTTATTTGCCTCCCAGATGTTTAGGCGAACACGAGCATAACATTCTATAGCTAAACTTTCGAAGGGTTTTAGCACCCACCCTGTTTGATTTGGAACATCTGGAATCATTGCCAGTTTTGTGCGTCCAGGTGACTCACCGTTGGTGATCTTCACTGCGCAGAAGGTCAACACGTCGGGCTTCCCAGAGGTAGCGCAATATCATCAAGACAAATCACACACACTTCCAGGCAGTTCTCCCCTGCCAAGTTATTTCAACTAGGATCGCGAAACCAGAAACTTGTGTCCAATGCTTCGCAGCTAGTTAGCATCGTCCTGCATTGTAAACATCTTTCAAGTTTCACATGTTCCAGGCGACTGTGCACCATGGAGGCGGCAGTGCTGTGCCTGTGCCGTTCAATTTTGGCTGTGAGTGATTTTCAGATTGTCGATCAGCGCATAGCACTGCAGGAGTACCAGATGCTAATCATGTTCATGCTTGAAACAGCATTCAAAGCCTTGACCCTAGTATTTCAGTTGTGTTGTATACAAACTTTGCAAAACCTGTTGCTCCAAAGGTGCTTTGACAATTTGGGCGTTGCAGCAGCCCACATACCTTTTGTACATCCTAAGTGGTGCTGCAGTTCATGGTTTGCCGGCGCAGTATTCTTGGATGGCGCACACCCTGAGGACAGCTGTCCTGACCATGACCGTGGTGTTACTGTAGTTGGCTTCTCAATGCGCAAGTCGTTCTTTTGCTTTGATGAGTGCAGTGTAGGTGCATGATCTTGATTACAGACACCCTGTCAAACAGTCACCAACAAAGCTCTGGTTACCTGCGCTAGGTTCTGGATGTTCGACATTTATCCTCGGTCGTGTGGCAGGTCAGGGTTCTGGTGACATTATATTATGGACTTTTGCAAGTTTAGAATATGGCACAAGACGGACCCTATACCAGACTCCATTCACACTCAGGATGAAGGCTGAAGGATAGATGTGCAGCTTTTGCAGGCGTTCCTCTCCGGCTTTAGCGACATGGCCAGAGGCATCGCTATGTGCTCTGCAGCACTGCCCATGAAGGCAGGGCTTGTTAGGCATGAGCCAGGGACGTTGTGCTGTTCTGCTTCAAAAGAGCTTCCGAATTCCCTTTGATGATGGCCACTTCGGTCGGGTTCCAGAGTGGGCAAGGGACGTTGACGGTGTTTCCGTGTATAAAGTAGAGGCCCATGAAGCCTGAAGGTTGCTGCCTCACGTAGTGAAAGACTCCTGTGTTTTGCCAAATAGTTAACAGGTTCATTTGCAAGCCGAAAGCGTCTATCTCCAGGACCACAGGCCCCTCTTGGACTTGCATCCACAAATTGCTGACTTAACGGGACAAAAGACATGACTGCTACTCACTACACCTTTGTGAGCCATATCTTTATGGTTTCACTGAATGTAGAAAAAAGGGGGCAGGACCTTCGCAACAAAGGGGTAGAAAACAGCCTTCAGAAATGTTGGCCAATGCCCAGGAAACATGGGCCCCACATAAGAGCACGCTCGGTCACCGTCGGGATTGGCTTGATTTTATGCAAGCTCTTTGCTACAGAATCATTTTCTGAAATGGACTCAAATGGTGCGGAGAAGCCTGCAGGTGTAAATCCCAACACCTTTCTGGAGCTTTACATTGACCTTGCTATCGCCACAAGATCGCTGGCACCAGTAACATGATGCCAGGTAAGCTTCGACCCTCACGCAATATCAAATATCTCAAAGTTTCAGTTGACCGACCTGTGTTCGGAAGCCGATGCCAAATGACCTCCACTGCTCTCTTCACAATCAACAATATGTTCATCCTTTACTTGAAATGAATTAATTCATTACACGTGGATGTTTCATGTATCAAGGCGTCCAGGCTCACGAAGTTCTGAAGCTAGCAAGCCACCTTGAAGACAAGAGGGGCTCGAACGACGGGCGTTGTAGCATCGGTGACTCAAATGATCCTCGTGGACCAAGAACAGCGGAAAGAGCGTGAATGATTGACGCGCCCTAAAAGTAAAAAGTGATCATCAATTGCGTTCATTGAAGACCCATGCAGCACCATGGTAACCCAGCCCATCTGATTGTACGGAGGGCTCAGGACTTGTGACCGCTGAGGGTGCAGCGGAGCCAGGCCGGCGGGTGGAATAACAATAACCTGGCGCACAATGCCAGAGGACAAGGACTCCGTACCGAGTTGGCATGGCTCCGCAGCCACTTTCTAGTCTTCTGTGACTGCCTGCAAGTGGCGCTCGACAGGGACTAAGGAGAGCGAAAGGAAGCTGGTTGTGGGCCGTCTGTGGGGCAAGCTGTTGGGAGCTGCGAAGTCGATGGTTCGATATGCTGATCCGGACCAGTCTGACAACAACGAAGGGCTGAATCAGTTTCTAGCATTTTCATGAAAGTCTCGTCTAGAGACTACCGGTGCCAGAGAGTTTCAACAGACTGGACAAGTGAGGCAATCTCAAACGCACGGATCTGGAATCGGTGGCTGAACTGTTCACGGAGCTACAACAGTGCTTGGCTAGGGCCAGACTGGATAGGATGTCTCCTGGACAGGACTTCCGCTCATCCTGAGGTGGAACTCAAAGACCTACGCGGCGCAACGCTGGCGAAAGTTTTCTGAGCCGATGCAATCGATGGAGACTCGGCGTTACACAAGTTCTCAGGTGTGCCCGTGGCATAGGTTGTGAGGAATGACAACCTTTTTTCGGTTGCTGATGTGAACGAAAACATCAGCGAAGAGCTGGAAAGAGAAGGCGAACGCCGCGAGAAGGTTCGGCTGGGAGAGATTCACGACAAAATGGTTCAAACGCAGTCGGCGTAAATGGATGAATTGAGACCTCTTGGACTGTATGTGCAATTCTCACGGCAAGTCATTTAATGTAGTCATCCACGTCAAGGTTGGAGTCTGAATTGCAGGTGGAATTTCCGCAATCCAAACCTAGCCGTCTGGCCAACGCCAAGGCTGGCAAGGCATTCATTACTGGGGCGTCGTTTGCCAGAACAAGGCTCTCCACTGATATGGCTTGGAGTGAAGTACGAAGAATCCAGGAGCCGTTTCACGTCATTGGAGACAAGATGTCTCATGGATCTTTGGCTCAAGTCATCGAAAAGGGCTGAATCACCGAAAGTTGTGGTTATCAGCCGTAGGCTCATCCCTGTCGATTCTCTCTATTGCCATTGCGCGGTCCCGTGTTTCGTTTTGGGTACCTCACTTTCTTCTCCTCACTTTGCGCTGCTGACGTGCGTGCAATCAACGATTTGAAGCACGGTTGCACTGGTGTATGCCCAGAGGGGAAAGGGGTGGTAAAAAGATCCAGTTGTCAAAGTCTTTGATTGAGGCAACCTTAAGAGGACAACACCAACCCACATCTGAACCCTCATCTGCCTCCGGGATTAGGCGTGTTGTAGCCATCGCTGAAAGGATTGCCCAGGAGCCAGCTGTCCCAACAACAGAATCCCAAGAATCCCGCACGTCTCCAGTTCCGGATTCAACAACCTCAGTCGCCCAGAACGCCGCAGAGGAATCAGCTGTGGTGACCAGTGCTGGTGTTGAGCCGGTTGGGAGTAGGTTAAGCGGATCAAGAGCTTCTTCGCGTGCGTTGAAGCCTTGTCAGGGCGCCCCGTCATCCTCCAAGGGCGCCGAACTTCCAGCTGGTGGGGTAAGGTTGAGTGAGCTTGACAGGAGTGTCAAACCGAGACTCGGACCTCCACAAGCCATTCAAGAGATCCGTATTAGCTTGGACTTTAACAACGTCTTAAACATTGCGCAGGCAGGCGATCAGGAGTTTGATGGTATCCACCCGAACAACGTTTGGGCTTTGAAGGAATTCATTCGGAACAACGTCGATCGAGGTGTTCGTGTCGGAGTCACGTCCTACATAGGCACCAAGGGATCTAAGTCACAAGCTCGGCGTACCAGATTGTTTGAAGTCGTTCGTGCGTACGACCAGTCTGTTGTGGACTCCCTTCAACATCTGGGTGTTTGGATAGTCTCTTCTCCTTGTGACAAAGGGATTTTTCTCCAGCAAGCCGGGGCAGTGGTTCGCGTAGATGATCGTTTGAGTTGTTTGAATTCTTGTTCACGGTCAATACACACATACTGGGTTACTAGGTCTTCAACCTTCCATAACACACACATCATCGTGCCTTCCTTGGAGCAGGCTTTGTTGACAATTAGGACTGTAGGCAAGTCACAGCAAGCTTGCACCAGAGCCCATTCTCTTCGTTCTGGACCATACCTCTCTGATTGTCTTTTCACGATTTTCAGCTGCACTTACCCAGCGCTTGCGCGGAAGAGCAGGAGGGTGGATTTCTTTGTTTGTGCAATTTCAGCTGCACTTACCCAGCGCTTGCGCGGGAAGAGCAGGACGTTGGATTTCTTTGTTTGTGGGCCATCGGGTGTATGTATGGAAGGCACTTCTAGTTCCAGTTTCATTTGTCGACCGACACGAGCGGATCCGGGGTGCACGGCATGCCTGTAATAGGAAACTCCCCAAGGGAATCATCTAGCAGGTCCAGTTCCAGATCCGCGCAAAACAGAGTTTCACGAGTGTTGCGTTCCCCATATTTGTTGAAGCCACCAAGCAGTATGAGGAACCGACAGGATAAGATGGAAGAAGATGAGCAGAGGCATGGTTCACCGGAGTCTTTGCCAGCACTTGAGGATAGGACCAACATCCCCATGACTAGGAACCTTGGACATGAACAACCTGGTTACCAGGGTCAAGGTGAAAGACTGCAGGTATACCATGATGAGAGAACACTTCACCTAGAACAGCATGTTCATCACCCTGAACCTCAAGTCATAGGTCAGTTGGTCGCCTCTGCGGCAAGCTCAGAAGTTCGCCGGGAAGCCGCTGAAGTGATTTCAGGAGTGTTGCAAGGGGCTAATCAGGCAGTAGCCGAGGCCCAGCAGCGTGCCACCGAAATCAGAAGGGAAGCCACAGAAGCCGTTTCTGGGGTTGCCCAACAGGCTACAAATGCAGTTGCTGCTGCGCAACAACAAGCCACTCAAGAGGTGGCAAACGCTAGGGTAGAGTCCATGCAAGCCCAAATGAGGACTGAAAGCATCGCGCGCGCTCAAGTAACAGCCTTAACTGCAGAGATACAACAGTTGAAAGCTCAGCTTCAGGAGGCGAACGTGCTGAACCAGCAGCTTCGCGAAAGAAACCAAACCGGTTTACCTGTTTTTCTTCCCCATGACAATGAGACCACTAATGCTACGACGTTGGCTCACTTGGACATTCGTTTGAAGCTAGAGCGGTTGGAGGCTAAAATGTATATGCGTCAAGAATATATTCAAGAACTTTGGATGCATCAAGCTCCAGTTCCAGCAGTTCATGAAGAAGAGGTGAAATCGCCAGTAGTTAGAATGAACCAAGGAGACCATGATGAAGGGTTTGAGCTGTTTGGGGACGCTCGGAGTTCTATGTCTGACTCAAATGATGTAGAAAGGCAATGTCTTAGAACCAAGGACTTGCACCACCTCAAGCTCCCAACACTCCCTGAAACAGCCAGCTCTTTCAGGACATGGCGCAATGCCGTCAGGACCGCCATTTTGTCATATGACCTCAGTCCCGAAGGTAGGTTGACCCCGTGCGTTTAACGCTAGAGGTGACGAGTCAGAGCAACTAAAAGAAAATTCTGGGGACTTCCCGCGTTTTGACCGGGTGATAGCTTCATTGCTTTGCAAACAAGAAGTCCTGAAGACTTCATTTGGGCTGAGGGTGCAAAGCTACATCGAGGCATGTGAGGCATCTGGCACTCAGATCAGAGGCAGGTACCTTTCGAATTTGGTATCGCGAGAATTTGACACATCTGCAGCAGCCGGTGCTATCACCAGCTCCTTGGAGTTGTTTCAGTTGCCTGTCCCGCAGGATTCGCCAGCAGCTTTGAAACATTGGAGAGACAAAGTAGTGTATATCCTTAGCCAGCTCCCCGCCGCCCAACGTCCCAATGAGGAATTGATGAGCCAATGGATTTACGACACTTTAAAGAAACATCCGCTGCATTCTCACCCCAGGTCATTTGACGCAATATGGAGCTGTGTGGAATTG